ATGCAATCCCCCTTCAATTTGGTGTTCAACCTTCCTCAATAAACTTCAATTTGATGTGTGAATATTATAGTTTCTCTTCATACAGGAACTTTCTTGTTTGAACAATACTCTAACACCCTTGGGCAGGCCCATAAGTTAAAGTAATGCTAAACAGTAGGCCTTCGTCAAATGCGGGGCTTGGGATTGTTTTAACTTCAAACCAACACACCCCCTGACAAACCAGTTCAAAAAAGTGACTCAACATAAAAAGAAGAAAACAACTGATGTGATAGCAAAACAGTATCACCCTCCTTATAGAGATTATTCCCAAAAAAAATAGACGCATACCATGATCAAAGATCTCATGGAAAATGCAGGAAATAACATCATCTACCAGTTATACTCAAAACTAGCAATTATAACTGCCACAGTTCTGTCAAGTTATGCAAACTCAGCTACAAACAATAAATACAAGGCCCTTAAGGAATTTTGATATATACGTATAGACATATAAGCATGCGGAAAGAGAGAAGGGAGGGAGGGCAATTGCAGCTTGAAAAACGATGAATTATAATAAAATCATATAAAAAGAAAGCCAACATAGATGACCACTAAATAGTAAAGCACTTTGGGCAATCAAGCCAGAACAAGAAACTCACCCTGTATAATAATTCTTTGGCAGGTAAACATCCCTTACTGGCCCAAATCTTTCAAATAGAACTCGAAGATCTTCTGGCCTGCCATCACAACAAAGTTAGCATGATACCATAGGAATGGATCTACTTCCAAATATGTGCATCTGACACATAAAGATACTTAAAATCACCTTAGTGGATAGCTTACCTGCAATTAAGAGGAACATTTCGAACCAACAGGCTCCCATTGTTCTGTTCCTTGCGCCCTCCATATCCCCTTCTTGGGGGACTCCTTCCTCGACCTCCATGTCCTCTCCTGGGAGGACTATAGTATGGGGGACTGTACCTCCGCATGTTGCTGAAAGCCAATGACGTATTAATTGCTATAGATGCACCTTCAAATATCACATCATGGAGGTAAAATAGAAAATAAAACTACAGAGAAAAGAACTCTAATGAATTATAATATGGAGTACCAAAAACAAGTAGGTTTATAAAGCTAAAACAAAATGCAGATCAACCTATGTGTGGGACAGAAAAGGATAAGTGTTATCTATTGTAAAACCCACACACGATCATATACACAAAGAAAGAAGAAAGCAATCCTATCCAAAGATTATACAATTCAAATATTTGACCCACCAGATCAGATTAGCATGACTGCAGTGTTTTAATACAAAAGAAATTGACCCAGGGCACAGTCAGGCCTGAACTTCATAGATCACAACCAAGATCTTTTTTCAGTATGTGTATGCCCATAACATTTCTGGTTTTTCTTTTTTTTTTATGGATAACTTTTAGTAACTTATTACTTTGTGAAAAAAGATTCTAGATACAATGTGTTTGGTAATTTCCCCCAGGCTACCATGAGTAGGTGCTATTACATTACATTTCCATTGTTCACAGCAGCTAGTGTGCAACCCTTTAGATGGTTCCTGAATACAGTTGACTTCTGTTTACCCCTTGTCTTGTAGTTGTAAGAGAATCAGCCATGCGCCATGCAATTGCCTGATCTGTGTCCATTTGAAACTGGCTCTCATCTCCCTTGCTAAGCCTATTATCTCCCTCCTATTATGTCTGTAACACCATGAACCAGGTTGTACAGGCCTATCATAGTTTAGCCATCTGATAACAGTTTTAAATCTCCTTCCATAATCAGATTTGTGTAAACTCTCCCCAACTTCAGATCATGAAATAAAGCCATTAATCATCTTCAGAGTTTCCTTGGCTTATAGAACCTGAGTAGATGGCCAAAACTGCTCCTTCATGATTCCTGAAAACTCCCCCAAACTTCATGGTCCTGATTTATCCATGCTACAAAGATTAAATTAAGTTTTAACTAGTTCAAAGATGGTGGAGACCAACAACATAGGAACTTGTTGCTTGAAGATGAGTCTGTAATCTGTCTCCATCCTCTAATTATGTCATCCACCAAGAAAAGCTTGAATATTGAAGTTACTTGTACCAGTTTCCCACTCAGATCATTATGTTTTAAGGTTTCGCTATTCAAGCATAAAGGAAGGAAGGATACAAAGGTTTTGAGGAGAGAAAGAAAGAAAGAAGATAAGGATAAAGGAGGTGAACAGCTTTGTTGTTGTTGTTTTTTAGTATCAGTAACCACTTTTGTTTTTTTTTTCTGCAATTACACACTATCAAATATTTTATTAGTAACAAATTATAATCTCCATCAGATGCTACTAGCTTTACTGCATGCAACTTCTCTACTAAATACTTATTATATTTTAATGAGCAGGGAGGCGTTGGAAATATTGCAGGTATATTAATAGTGAACAGAAAAGCATAGTTGTCAAGGCAACTAGGCACTCTTGGCTGGGCAACCCGCATAAATGCCTTGACTTATAGCAACTAGGCACCCACCTAGGCAACAAAAAACGACAAGGTGGGTGCCTTATTATAATATCATTCATATTGCTATATATGTGTGTGTATGCACACACAAAAACTTTGTTCTAAAGTTTTACTATTGATATTTAAAAGATCATAAGGTTTTTGGGAAGAGAAAAGAAAGAAACATAAAGTATAAAGAGATTTTCAAAAAAGTTGAATTTAATAGATTTAAATATTTTATCTTTTAGATATGATGATTTTCCACGATGTGAGAGGAAATTTTATGTTCTTAAGACAGAGAATTGCTATTTTTCAATTAATATCCATGCTGAATAGTATATAAAACAAGGGAACTAGCCAAAAGTTAATTATTTATTTTAAAAATTCTTATCATCTAGGTGGCCAGGTACACCAATGTCATTCAGAATCGCCTAGACACCAAACTGCTATTGTCTTTTGAATGTGATGATTTACTAGGTTTACACATGAAGCTCATTGTTATCAATAATGCTGCTATTTTCAATTTATATGGTTGCTGATTAATATATAAAACTAGGAATTAACCATTTTCTTTGTCAAAATCACCTGACAACTTCACTCTCATGCATCTATCTAATTCATATACATGCATAACCATGAAAGAAAATGAACTCTACAAATTATCAAAATCCTTGCCCAGAAGTGTAAAAAGAAAAGTGACCAATATTAAACAAACAGAAAAACAATGAGGTTAAGGTGCATTTACAAAAAATAAGGGCCAAATATTCACAATTTAAAGAATTTCTTTCTCCAAAAAGGTTACGATACTTATCTCATAATGGTTGGCCATCAACTCCCAAAGGATATTGAGTTTACCAAGGATACTGGATATCCCATTTGGCATGCCATACTTTAGTTGTTTTGGAAATAAGAAATGCAATTCATTTATAAATCCAATGGCTTCCCAAAACATCATAGATCATAATAAACACAACTTTTACCAGTCTAGGCTTACATAGTTGTCATTTGTCAAGGCACTAAGGCAAAGCTAAGCAAGAGAGAAGTGCCTTGTCAAACCTAGGCAATGATATTTTTGTAAAAAAATATATAACTTTATTCATAGAATATATGTGTTGCTGCCTGGAATGGGTCGAGGGCAACAATGTAAGTTCCAAGACGAGGGCTGGCTGACGAGTCTAAGGGCTGCTAGAGCTGAAGACCTATAAGTCCGACCTGTAGAGGAAGAAGCACGTCAAAGGCCCCAAGTGTTATCCTAGGAGCAGAGGCTCCGACGGTCAAGTTAGCAAGGGCATAACAAGGAAGATGGATAAGGCCCGAGTAAGGTAGCTCATATGAGGTCACCAAGAAGCTAGAGAGAGCTGAGAACAATAAATGCCAAGATGTCTTACCTCATAGTGACGCCACCTATGACCTATTTATACTTGAACTTGCCTGGAGTTAGTTACGAACTTACGAGTGAACAGACAGGATGTGCAATCTGCCTTGTGTCGCGCGCTGTCATCTAAGGATGCCACGTGTTTGCGCGCCATTGAGCCTGCCATGTGCGCCTACATCATTTGCCCCCCCCCTCTCAAGGTCGTGGTGGAGGTCTGTTGTGGTGACCTCGGCTTCGTAAATCCAACACTTTCATGGGAAGACTCATCACCTCTTCAACCACATTCAACGCCTACAAAGGCAGTCCTCTCCCTCAGCACTTGGACCTTGGGCCTCAGAGCCGAGCCCTCGAACTCGCCAGAGTAGCCTTCGCTACTACAGCCGTGGTAGTACGAGATGAGCTCGCACACTCAGGACCAGAGTTTCAATAAGACATGGCTTATGGTTAGGGTTTTTACCTAAAGGACGAGGTCTTGAAAAAAGGCTGGTGAAAATTGAAGGCCGAGGTCTCTACAAGGTCTAGCTCTCGAAAGCAAATGATGAAGACTAACTCGACTAAGTGCCCTATTTAAAGGAAAATGGACGACTCAGATCATCCCCGATCCAACGGCCACAAAGTGACCACCTTAACGATCCAAACTGACGCATGACACATGTCGCTCACCTCGGGAAGACGAAATGATGCCGAGCGAATCAACTGGTCCACTCACTGAGTCAAGCGGTTTGCCCGACGATCCTGAGCCAGAAGCAACTTGACCTGGTCGACCTGACACTCGTCTCGCATATAAACACGACGTGATGACCCGTCTCACGTATGGTCACAACCCGACGCCCATCTCGAACACGGTCCTGGCTCGTCAACGACGAGACCCGTCTCCTATATAGTCACCACTTGTCGACATCAGCACCCATCTCGTGCACAGCTACGATATGCCTGTTAAAGTTACTCGTACCTCATACAGTGGTAACCAACCGAGGTCGATGCCTGGCCCATGCACAGACTCATCAGCACGCCTGTGAAGCACATGACTGGGGGGCACGCATATCTCGTACTAGTATCAAGCACGGTACCGAGCTCTCAAAAGCCAAGGACGACGCCTCCGCACACCCGGTCCTCCACAACTCTCCCAAGAGACGGAACCCAAGAAGCAGTTATCATCAAAGACCAAGGGAGACCCTCAGAGGTCAAGGTCGACGCCTCCGCATCCCCAAAATAAGGCTCTCCCTGACAAAGTCAAAGCCACGGCCAACGTCTCCACGCTCCTGAGCTAGGGTTATATTCAATAGAGTCAAAGCCAGAGCCAACATCTTCCCGCTTCTGAGCCAGGCTATCTTAGATGTCTCCAAAGCTGAAGCCGAGGTACTCACCAATACAAGCCACTTAGCGCCTGCCAGTGGATGATGCACTCTCTTCAGCCGAAGCCGAGGTCACCACAACAGACTTCCACCACGGCCTCAAGAGTGGGGCGCAAATGATGTAGGCGCACATGGTAGGTCCAACAGCACGCACATATGTGGCGACGCGCGGCAGGGCAGATTGCATCCTGGCCGTCCGCTCGTAACTAACTCCAGGCAGGTTCAAGTATAAATAGGTGGCGTCACTATGAGGTAAGACATCTTGGCATTTATTGCTCTTAACTCTCTAGCTTCCTAGCAACCTTGCCTGAGCTACCTTACTCAGGCTTCGTCCGTCCTCGTTACACCCTTGCTAACTTGATCGTAAGAGCCTCCGCCCTTGGGATAACACCCGGGGCCTCTAACATGCTTCTTCCTCTACAGGTTGGACTTATAGGTCTTCGGCTCTAGCAGCCCTCGAACTCCTAAGCCAGCCCTCGTCTCGGAAGCGAACTTACATTGTTGCCCTCGGCCCATTCCAGGCAGCAACAACATATATATAATTAATTTTTTATTGCTTCCTTGTTTCTTATGAGTTAGCTTGTTTCCCCAGTTGAAGCAGCAAATATTAAACATTAAAAAGTGATCTAACATGAATGAATCAAAGAATCACAAATTACATTTCAAAAAAAAATCACAAATTAAAAGTAAAGTAAAAGCAGTATTACATAGCTACGAGAAGAAAATGGCAGAGCCCCTATGTTGTTAATGAAAGAGTGAGAGAATAAAAGAGATTATTTACATGTTTATATATGCTTATAAATTGAAAATTGGGAAAAACAATAAAATAGAGTTAGAACCTCTTTATGTTGAATGAAACAGAAATACAAGGATAGTATGCATGTGCATGATTCTCTCTATGTGTGCATGTTTATTTGTGTATTAATTGTAGAGAAAAGGACTTTTTTTTTTGAAAGGTCAGGTATGAAAAAGGTTGGTTCGTTGAACTGAAATTTGGTGTAATATAAGCTACAACTAAATTTCACATAGTTCGATGAAAGGGAATAAGGCGACTAACAAAAAATTCCTTACCGACTAGGTGTTGCCAGGGCATAGGCGATGCCTTGACAATTAGTTTAATTTATGTCGTGGTCAGTTGATACTGACACCCGATTAGAGAACGAACCAGTGCCGTCAAAATGGGTACCCCTCAAATGTAACTCCTGGCTTCTAAGCAGATGAGATGCCTTTCACTATAGAACCCTAAATTCTAACGAACACACTAGAGAAAATTTCTTCTAAGTTAAGATTAAGATAATAAATATATAGCATTTTCAGTCGTTTCAACCGATAAATAACTAGCTATATTCTTCGAAATACAACAAATGAAAGTATAGCTAGTAAAGACCAACAGATGCAATATACTGCATAGGGTTCAAAGTCAGAGAATAAAGACAATACACATCCAGTAATGCTGAAGAAGGTTAAATACTATTAGAGCACCCAAGTCACTTGAGAAAAACCCTAGACAAAAAAAAAAAAACAGAAGAATCACACTATGTAAAGGAGCAAAAAAAAACTCATAAAAAGAAGAACGTGATTAGTAGATTGAAACCCTAAATCATACCTAGAAGATTGAAGATAAAACTACAATCTTTAACGGCGTTCCCTAGGAGTATTAAAGCAAAAAGATAACGATATTAGGGTTTTAACATATCATAAACCATATCTAACGAAGTTAGATACCTGAACAACCCGGAGAAATCAAGTGCGAAAGGAACCTAGGATCAATCTCACAGTTGGAACCCGGAGCTGGAGCCTGGAAGAGTCCGACTTTTTTTTATGAGTGCGAACTGCGAACAATCCTGAGAAAATTAAACGAAAACCCCCGATGAGTTTGCCCTCAAAATAAATCTCTATGGCTACTTGGCTAGTAATAAAACCCGGTTAAATAACTCTCCCGAGGTTTCTGACAAATAATTACAATGACCCCATGTACTATGGGGTCAGTGACAAAGACCCCTGCACTTTTTTTTTAATAAAGACTTCCCTAAACCTTGACCGTTAGACAAAGACTCCCTCCATTAGCATTCCGTCAAATAACTTTAAAAAATTCTAATCGGACTGTTTACATTTTTCTAAATGCCTAAACTACCCTTTTCTAATTTATTTCACATTTTTCTTTAATTCATCAAATCATTTCACCATCGTCCCATCAAATAACACGTCGTCCTCCGTTACCTCCTTTGTGTCCCTGGGAACCGGCAGATACAGTCTCATGCTCTTGCAAAGCAAAGCGTGAGTGTAAACCATATTCTTCATCTTGTCGTATATGGGTGCTATTGAACGTTAGAAGGATTTGCAGTGAGAGGACTTGACAGAGACTGAAAGGACGATGATGAACAAAGGTTCCAAACGGGGAGTGTCTCAGAATCTCTGCAATTCACTCATCCAATCTCGCATAGTGCAATATAAGTAGCTTGAGATCATGGTGGTTTCATAGACGAGTCTGCAATTTAGCAATGGGATGATGAACCGGTGATCAAGACAATAGGTAATCAATGAATGGTGAAGGATGGATATAAGCTTGTTCCTTGGTGGAGTATAATTGAGTAAAAGTTGAAAATTGAAAAGTCATCTTCAAGAGGACTGAACAATATGTTAAAGAATACCAGGAATAGGAGAAAGAGCTAATCAGATTGAAGCGTGGGGCCAAGCTGAAAGATGGTTTCTATATTAATCCAGAAGCCAAATTGATGTTCATTATTCGTATTCGTGGTATTAATGCAATGCATCCACCGTTTGAGACAGATTTTTAATGGTGTGCTAAGTAAACAAAGTAACTATGAATGTGTTGCATAGGGTTGAATAAACAGCAAATTGCTTTGATTGATAATTCTATAATTAAACAGGCCCTAGGAAAGTATGGGATCATTTACATGGAAGATCGGATCCATGAGATCATTATAGTAGGGCCCCACTTCAAGGAGGCAAACAATTTTCTTTGGCCATTCAAGTTGAGTGCTCCATCTAGCGGCTTGAAGAAGAAGAGAAACCGTTATGTTGGAGGTGGGGATGCTGGAAATCGGAAAGATTATATCAATGAACACATTAGGAGGATGAACTAGTGGCGATACCTTTCTAAAGCTATAATCCTCTTGTTAGTTCTTAATCAATTTCTAATTTTTGTAGAGACTTTGATTTGGTTTTAGGTGATGTTTTGTTAAGGCTGCATTTGTTTGAAGTGTAAATTCAAATTTTACATCATGGAAAATGTGAACCGGTTTAGTGATGGATGGAAATTGGGACCAGTTGATTTTGAAAATTTACACCGATCATGTTTAGTTTTCTATGATGTAAATTTTTAATCTGGGTCTCGACGGAAAAAGGTGAACAAGCAATGCTTACGCTGATAGGCATGAGCAAGCAACGGCCATAGATACCCTGCACCTGAAGCGCTGCGGAGGCTCACAGTTGCGGCGATTAGTACGGGACCTCACATGAACTACGTGAGAGTGGATCGCACACGAAATGCAGTATTGCATCTTCGCGTATAGCTTTGAGAGCGTGTAGCCTATTTCAAGAACAGAAATCAACATAAAGGAATTGACCAATGCCGGTGATCTTTCTTTCCCGGTATAGCCACTATCGGGGAAACTCATGACCGCCGACAAAACTGTACAAAACTGCCGGCCTAGGTAGCATCAATTTGGACTATTAAATTAAGTATTGTCAGCTTATCCTTTACTATACCGGCAGTCATAAATCGCTGGTAAAGTAAATAAATTTATAATTTTCAAATATATTATAAATACCGGCATTACAAACCTCCGGTACAAGTAAAAGCAAACCGCCATAATGATTTTCAATGTACATGTGTGTCGGTGGTGTAAAATACCGGTGTAGACACCATGGACCGCCGGCGGTCGGAACCGCCGACTTTAGTTTTGTCAAAAACTGGCCTGCTGTCTGGACCGCCGGCCTAAATTTTGCAAAAATTTTCCTACTCATTTTAGCGGCGGCCTGAACCGCCGGCTTAGATCATACTTAAGTCGCCATTTAGGCCTTATGTATAGCTACGTCGGCGATTAGGTGACCGCTGACTTTGATCACTATTTTTTTATGATATGTTATTTTTAACATCTTTTTATATATGCACTTTATTGATCCACCACTATAATACATACTTAATACACTCTTGCAAATTGATATATGGAAACTTAAACAACTTAAATAAAAGTTTAAATGTAAAACTCAATCTATTAATATAAAGATTAATCATTATAACATCGAAAACAAATTGTTCAAATACAACTTATTGATCCATGACAAATTATTGTTCCTTTGATCTTTGACTGCTACTGCCTTCTTCCCCTGATCTTTGACTTCTACACCCATCATGGTGAGCTTTCAGAAAGCCAATGCTTAAGCCTGTAAAGCTACAATATATCTCAAACAAGCAATGAAAGGCATCCAAGTAGAAAACTTGGACTTCTTATGTGCCTATCTCAAGATGTATTAAGCTCTGAATGGGCATTCTGCAATTTCAGTCCCACTATTCAACTCAAAACACCACCATATATAAAGTACTGTTACAAACTCGGTGGAGACCCTTCCTTTTTCACTCTATTCGGTTCCTCTAGCTAGTTCACTAGAATCCTTTTCATGTTGTCAATCAGCTTTTGCATCTGTTCCCTGGAATGCAAGGGTGATGGATACACACAAACACAATCCAACTGCCCTTTGTGAATTGTATCAAATATAGCGATGGAGGGACCAACACTATGAACTGAAGAGCAACCCATGTAATCTTCCAGTCCAACCTCTTTGGGGTGATCTACTGAAATACTTTGGTGAGCTTGGAGAAGAAGATTGCTCCAAAGAAGTAGAGGAAGTGTTGACTTATATTTAAAGGGATGACATATTACCTCCTATCATCGTTCTTCAGACACTGTCCAGAAATCCATGTCTCACTCTCTCCGTTGTCAAGGATTACATTGCTAGAAAACTTGAAGAAGAATCAAAACTGATTGAAGAAGACCACCGATCTATTGAGAAAGACCGGGAAGACACCTCAGTGATGAGGAAAGAAATCCAGGATCTTAGGACTAATGCAAGGATTTTCCAGCTTAGTATGTGCACTGCATGCACTTTTACCCTTGATCTCCCTGCTGTGCACTTCATGTGTATGCATTCATTCCACCAGCATTGCCTTGGAGATAATGAGAAAGAATGCCCTGAGTGTGCTCCTGAGTACAGATCTGTCCTAGAGTGAAGAGAAGCTTGGAGCAGAATGCCAAGGACCAAGATCGGTTCTTTCAACAAGTGAAGAACTCAACGGATGGGTTTTCTGTGATTGCTGAGTATTTTGGCAAGAGGGTTGTGAGAAAAACTAGCAATGGCACTGCTGATGCTTTTAGATCAGGCAGCACTGCCCCCAGTAGTATCTTCCGACATGGCTTGTTTATTATGTTAAGTCATTTTTGTGGAACATCATTTTAGCTATTTCATTCTAATCTTTGGTGAATGTTGTCTGGGGCTTCTATGGAACATGATTGGGGCTCAATTGAGGGGTTGAATGGTGCACTCATGCATTTGATGCTCTTGAGATTGAGTTGTTTTTGTACCAGAACCTGATCTAGCCAATTGATCAGCTGATTAAGGAAGAGGAAGAAAGATCCAAATCTCATTTACCAGTACATTTAAAAAGGCTTTTAGGGGTTGTCATATTTCATGGCAGGTAATCTGTTTCTCTTTGTGAGAATTAGTGGAAAAGACTGGTCTTTTATGTTCTCTTTTTACAATCAGAAAATAAAAGTGGGTTGAGGATATGGTTTTTGTGGCACATTTTAATTCTTTCTAGTGTAATGAAATGAGGTTTGTTAAAAAAAAGAAAAAAAAAAAAACAAGCTAGACTAGGTCTAGATGCTCTCTTTTTTTGAAGTTATTAAGCCACAAATGGGTCTTTCTTGCATGCTTAGAGTGCCAATCTACACAGGAATTATGCATGAAATTCTGCCCATTCACACCAAGGAATCCATGTGGGATTAAACCAGAACTTAAACTCAAATTTGAGTTACAAATTGAGAACCTTTATTGAATCAGTCAATATAGGTGATTTCCAAATAAAAAAAGCAATTGAGATAGTTTGATGAGTTGTCACAAGTGGAAACTATTACAACCACTAAACAAAAAAGAGAATAAGTGTTTGGATTTTATTCTTTCTCCACAAAAGGTGGTTTGCCAATCTCACATTTCTCAAAGGTATAGCAAAATCCATCAACAGCCAAAAGAGAATAACGGGATTTGATTACAAAATTTCTATGTGAATTCCCTTGTTAAGAAAAGAAGGGAATATTAAGGAAACACAGTTCAGGCAAAATAAGAGATCAACAAGTTCAGAAGGTCCGTTCTCTATGGTCAGGCTTTTCAGTTTGGATTCAAAAAGAATAATTTTACTACTGTTGTTATTCAAAAAAAACAAGCTTAGAAATTAACCCTTATATGAATGAATTCTTTATGGTTTGACGTACCTTCTTTTGAATTTGGCTTGACCTGCTGCCGTCTTTATGCTTCAAGAATCCAATAGGTCTCTTCTATTTAGGGCTTCACAAAAGAATCCAATAGGCCGTCTTTTTGCTGCCGTCTTTATGCTTTACAAAAGAATCCAATAGGTCTCTTCAAGAATCCGATGGATGAAATCCCTGCATATGAGGTGAAACAGTGGTGAAGATAAACAAAGAAATCCCATAATAAAAAAATATAAAATCGTAAAGGAAAGAAGGTGATTACCGTTTGCACAAGCAGGAATGGAGTACCAGGAACGAATCTTCTGGCTTCAAATCCTTCTCTCTGAGTTGGGCAGAGATATCCACAAACAATGCACAGTTCTCTTGAAATCTCCACTCTCACATCCACTGTTCTTTTGAAATCGAACTCA